GTCTGAACCAGGTGGAAGACAGGTGCCCAAGGGACAGCACATGTGGCACCGCCTCTCTGTGCACGTGAAGACCAATGAGATGGCCTGCAACCAAAAGGCCCTCATCAAGTCCCTCACTAAACAGAGGGGTCCCCCCACTTGACAGCGGAGGAGACCCCTCTCTTCCTGGCGGACCCGGCCATTCCCAAGGGCTTGCCCCGTCCCCTCCAGCAGCGGCAGCAGAAACCCCTGATGGACCAGCTACAGGGAGTGGTCAACAACTTTGGCGCGGGAATCCCGGACTTCCATGCGGTGCTGGCAGGCTCTGGGGGCCCGGGGAACGGGCTGCGGTCCCTGTACCCGCCCCCGCCACCCCCCCAGCACCTGCAGATGCTGCCGCTGCAGCTGAGCACTTTCGGGGAAGAGCCCATCTCCCCGCCCGCGGAGGACGAGGACGACAGCGAGAGGTTTAAGCTCCTCCAGGAGTACGTGTATGAGCGCGAAGGGACCACGGAGGAAGACGAACTGGAAGAAGAAGATGAGGACCTGCAGGCGGCCAGCAAGCTGACCCCTGAGGCTTCTCCTGCCCTGACGCTTCCGTCGCCTTTCCGAGACTCGGTGGCCTCAGGCAGCTCAGTGCCCAGCTCCCCAGTGTCTGAGTCTGTGCTCTGCACCCCTCCCAATGTGTCCTATGCCTCTGTCATCCTGAGGGACTACAAGCAAAGCTCTTCCACCCTGTAGGGAGGAGGCCTCCGAATGGAGAAGCAGGATAAGCCAGAGAGCTCCAACCCCTCCAGGGATGTGCAAAAGCCAGGAGGAGAAGAGGGTGGGGGCAAATGGGGAGGAGAGGAAGAGAAAGCTGCTGCTGCCGCCTTAATGGAGGAGAGAGGGAAAGATAGCAAGCAAACAGTGAGCCAGGCCAGGATTCTGATTCTTGAGTTATTCAAAACCTTCTTTAGGAAGAAAGGGAATTCTGACAAAGCACAATTCCATATGGTATGTAACTTTTATTGCAAAAAATAAAAATAAAAAATGAAATAAACAAAAATAATCTCCTCTTTTGCACAATTGTGCATATATATATATATAGAAGAATATATATATATATATACCCACACACACTTGGCCAAGCCAGGAAAGGAACCACCTCTGGGGACCTGCCAGTTGAACTATTAGTTCATGGCATTAGTTCATGGCATTTGTAATTAGCAGGTGGAGCCAGTCAGAGCAGGCAGGTGAAAGGGAAGGGCCGGAAAATGGGGACAACCAGGGACCAGATGATGGGACAGCAACTCATTTCTTGGATGCCCTTGTCCCTGCTGGACCTGCAGAATCCTGATCTTCAGAAGACTCAGGAACTGACCCTCACTGGGGCCTCTCTTCATCCATTGCTGCCATCCAGCACCAGCCTTGCTGTGGCACTTGGAGAAAGGTGCATGAACACCCCAAGGCTCTGTGATTTTCCTCTACTTAGGAAAAGAGGAATAAGAACAAAATCATCACCAAAAAGTGCTTCCTTGGGAATGCAATGGGAGAGAAATGCAAAGAATGAGAATCAAGGCAAAACTTAAGTATGGGGTTTTGGGCAAAATCAGTCAGCACAACCAGCCTCCCATATTCAATACCTGTTTATTGGAGGTTTTGGAAAACAGTGAAAAGAATAGGTTGCTGTAACTTTTGTGGATTCACTTGTGCTTGTGCCAAGTGGGCTCTCCATTGCCCTTCAGTTAAAGAGAACAAACCATGTGGCAGAAGTGTTACCTTCCATTTACTGTAGCAAATAAATCTAACCAGTTGGACTTCTAAGGTCCAGTATATGTACAATGTGGTGCCATTGTTTCTCCAATGTACAACTGAAACAAATCCATTATTGAACCTGGTGGTGTACTCATAGCAACTATTACTCGCCCAAATGACAAGTAATTCTTTCCTGTTGTCATGGGAGTCCCTGTAACTAGCAAGTGAATGTGTTCTTGTGTCCTCATATACATGTAATTATAGACCTGTGCAATGTAACGTCAATCTAACTGCAACTAGAAGATTGTCTTTTGGATATAGCTATAGATATTTTCATGTTCTAATAACGTTTTATATATCATTGTCACCAGTACCTGCAGAAGCTCTATGAAGGTTTGAGTACTTTGGTTCAGTGTATGTCATATGCAGCTCAGATGGTAATTCCTCTTCTGAGAGGGAACTTATTTTTCAGACATTTTATGATGTGGGTATGTTATTAATGAATTAGTTTGAAAATTTGTTATATCAAAAGGTCACAAAAGTTATGGGTGACAAAAAAGGGATATTTTATAATCTTGCACACATCATTATTAAAACGAAAGATTGAAAAGTATTTAGACTATTCCAGATTATTTTAGATTTTTAAAAAAGATTTTCCATGGCTACTTGAGCTTTTTGTTCTTCTAGCACTTAGTAGCAGCCAAGTCCAGACATAATTTATCAAATATTTATTTATCAATCACATTTTGCCTTCTTTTTATTTTCATGTCATTTTTTCTTGCTATTTTTGCTGTCATAACTTTTGTTTGTAACTCTCTCATTTGCTGCTATGTTAATATCCTTGTACATGTAATCTTGTTGTTCCATTTTTACCCTCCTTTAACTCCCCAATAAAAGGATTTCTCTTCCTGTTTTGATTTCTTCTATTATTTGTGGATGAATCCTATCCCTTTAAATATCTTTGTTTATGCCTTATGTGCAGTCATATTTTATTATGCTTTCTTCATGTTGAAGCTGCTGATTTCTCAGCCAAAACTCATCTGAGAATCTTTAAATATCAACGGCATCATTTGTTCAGAATTTAACATCAGTTCTAATGTTGGAGGCTTTTATTCCTTAGGTTTTACCAGATTCTATCATCAAGCTTAGTCATTTCCATATCCAGAATGAACAACCTTTCCTTTTAAAAGTTTATTTGAAAACACCTTTACTGAAAAGACCTCATGACCAAAAATGTGAATTTCAATTCCATGTTTTCCTTGCAATGAAGCAGAATGAGAAAAATGGACAGCTCCGGTGCTTAAAAGATGGAGTTCTACTAATTGGCAAACTAGCAAGAGAACATATGCTCTCTTCTTAGTGAACATCTTTTAATGTTAATGCCATATATTAATATATATCCTTAATATTGCAGGACTGTGCATTCAGATTTTTTAAACACCAGAATAGATAAAGAAAACAACTTTCATTCAAATAATGTTACATGGTAATTTGTTCTGAGATTTTGGTTTAAGACATTTAGTGAATACATTAAACAATAATTCCAGTTATACTCTGAATGCCTACTATCATCATGATTTCAAGTTATCCTGAATAAATAGAGTATTAGCTCTCTGTCCTGATTGTTCACAGTTGGAGATGTACACATACATATCTGTACCAGAAGGTCAGAGACTCCTCACCTTAATGTATGTGCTTATATAGATTGTTCTGCTTCTTGTAAAAGTGTTTTCCTTTGGCTTGTTACTGCCTTTTGTCAAATAACCTTGATAATGCTGTACAATAAATATTTTCTATTTACTCAATGTGTACGTTCCTTCTCTTAACTTTGGAAGCATTATAATAATAGAAATAAGCCAGTGTACAAAATAAGTCCAATAATTTGATTTTGTTCAGAATATGCCTTCCAGGTAAAAGTTGGAAAGAACCACATGGAATCTACAGAACAGGTGAGTAAGAAAGTAGTATAAAATTTGGTTATAAGGAAGAGGTACCTCAAGCTGTTAGCAGTTTTAAGTGCAATCCAAAATTGACATTTCCAGCACCCATGTTTTTGGAAACCCTCCACTTCTCCCAAGTTTAATTCCCCTAAATTCTAATGGAGACATCACTGATCTTCCAAACAAGGGGAATCATTGACATTTTCTGCTGTGAGATTTCTACAAGGGAGAGTATTTTCCAGGTGTCATTCAAAGAATCATCAGGTGGCAAAAAGACCACACTCATAAGATCAAGGAGCTTTTGGCTGGGAGGGGAGAACTCCATACAGAGAGGCTCATGCTGAAGAAATTACCAGATGAAGAGGCTGAGACTCCAGGGATTTCTTCTGTGTACCTGGAAAATAGAATAAGAAATTATGAAATGGGAGCTTAGGGGTCTCAGTAAGAAAAGTCATAAAAGAAAGAATGGGAAACAAAAAAGCAAGAAGAAAAAACAAATGAAGAAAAGTGCTAGAAAGCAAAGGAGAAAATATTTAAGATGTGTAGTCTAGAGATATACACAGATGTCCTGCCAGGTCACAAAAGCTGGGAGAGAGCACAAAAGTGTCCCTTGGAGCCAGGTGCTCTGGCACATGCCTGTAATCCCAGAGGCTTGAGAGGCTGAAGCGGGAGAATCTTGAGTTCAACACCAGCCTTGGCAAAAAGCAGGGTGCTAAGCAAATCGGTAAGACCTGTCTCTAAATAAAATACAAAATAGGGCTGGGGATGTGGCTCAGTAAGTGCCCCTGAGTTTCATTCCCTGTACCTGCCCCCAATCCCCCAAAAAAGTGTCACTTGGAAAGAAGAAATTTGGAGAACTTGGGATTGGGGTCCAGAATCAACAAATGATGAATGAGTAATTGCCACAGAACACCTTGGCAGGGAGTCAAACAGAAGGGTAAGAATATCTTGATGAATGTGCTCTGTGCTAGACACTGGGTTAGGCTTTTTGCATTTATTCTCATTTAATTTTCCCAGGACTGCAACCACATGGATGATTTAGAGAACTGAAATACCCTGCCCAAAGTCTCTCAGTTGGTAAGTGGCCCAGCAGGACTTTGATCCCCATCCTCTGTGAGTACAGAGCCTGCAAATTTATGTTCTTCTTCAGAGCTCAGGGAAGAATGGAAGAGCTGATTCCATTTTGCTTG